GAGACTTTCACAATATTCCGAACTGAACGGACGTGACCCTTGCACGCTCCGGGACATAGCTAGCCGATAGTGTAACGCTGTAACTTAAAGCTAAGAATACATTAATTTAACAGTGTGGTGAATTAGCAGGTGAATAAACGTCAATTGGCTCAACTCTCAGAAAAACGCTTTCTTCGGCATCGCTACCCTGAGACTCATGCAAACCGACCCAGCTAGTTTCCCGTACCTATACCGATCTTCCTTAGTTTGATCTGTGAGGACAACTTCCAGTAGCCATCATACACTGTCCTAAGGAAGAAACAGGTGTAGCAGGGATAGCACCATTCCGACTGCGCCGATACAAGCAAAGGCGGGTTGGAAAGAGCGGTGTTAAGGCGGTCCTCTAAGAAATTATACACATTTAAACAATTTTGTGAACCTTTCCTACCGTAACCACTGAAACGACTACTATCACTTGTACCCCGCTTACTAAGCGGAAATTCTGTGTTCTAACACTTTAAATCAGAAATTATATACACGTACAAATTAAGATGTATATATTGTCACACACTTAATTCTACTGAAACGCGAAATGTTATAAGACAAGAAACTCGCAGTACTTGTCCCCAGCTGAAAAAAAAAAACACATCGGGAACATGTAACTCATATCACAGGCGAAAGACGAACTAATGAGTTGCATTCTTTCCTGGTCTTGGAGCACTTGTTTATATTGCCGACACAGAGGTGACCAACTGGTGTGGTGTGAAATAGCACAAAGTTCCACGAAGTGTGGCGAGATAAACAAAAAGAAAGAGGAAGCACCCGCGCTGTATTAGATGCAAAAAAAAAAAATAAACAAATAAATAAATAAATAAAAACAGTGCCGGCACGTTTTAAAACGACATGGATTGTTTAGAAAGCTAGAAACAAGCGACTGAGCCTTCTCGGAACCATTCTTTATGAAATACAAAGCAGTTTTAGCCTGTATCCTCAGTATATTACCCCAAAAGTGGTACCATCTCGCCGTTTCCTAACAATTCCTCAATTATTATAGAAGTGTGTTTACCCTGCCGTTGCATAGAAGCGGCAATCTTCTATTGTTGCGCGCGTGTTCATTTCCGCAGGAACCTGTTTGCCGGGTCGTTGCCTAGGAATCAACGTCTACTCTGGCTCCACTATACCGGCTTTCAGGCATCATGTCACAACATGTCCACAAATCTATGGCTGCTGAGATATGAGTAAGTTTTGAATTTGACTGGCACCAGGACAACACTTCAGTATTCATTAAGAGAAAGAGCAGAAGACCCGCATTCGTACAGTCGCTCGTGAAGTTTGGTTAGTAATTTGTGGGATCAGATTCTGTGTTGTGGGTAATGCCCTGCGTAGAGGCGATGTGCTTCCCTAGAATGTCCATTGGCATGCCCGTACATTAAATGAATGTCGTTTCGCAAACCGAGTAATTAAGATTCCATTTACAACACCACTATTTTTTATTGCTAGTCGGGTGGGACTAGGTCCCTTGTACTACGGCCACTTCTGGCCTATTGTACCAGCCCCACATGATAGGTGAGGGTGATTGTAGAGCAATTGGTGGAATGAAGATTGGCAGGGGAAACCGAAGTACTCAGAGAAAACCTGCCCCAGCGACACTTTGTCCACCACAAATCCCACTTGACCAGACCCGGGATCGCTAAGCCAGCGACTAGCCGCTTGAGCTATGGCGCGGCCAATACAACACCACTAAATGAATTTCAAATCAAACTACAATCAGAGCACGAACTGTCACTGCCCTTTCCTTAGTACAGAAGTAGCGTAACTACTGAGTCTACTGAGACAGTCACAACACACGCAAGGGAAAGGTAAGGAAACTTAATGCATACTTCAGTATCACCCTAGTATCCAGTCAAATGCAAAACTTGCCCATATCTCTGCAGGCATTGATTTCTAGGCATATGCTCACTGGGACTTCCTTGCTCATTTAAGTGAGTACTATACGCCCATAAAGCCCTTTTCTCTTTAACACCCGGTGTCATCATCCTCCCTTTTCAGCTAATGTATATAGTCTCTTTAGCTGACAGGAGTATAGTACAAACAATGAGATGAAAACAAGTGTTAGCAATGCCTAACGTCAAAGTTCACTTAACAGTTAGTTAATTAGAAATTTCAAGTACAAATATTATGTTTCTGGACAATATCCACCGTCCTGTTTATATTACAAAACACAAAGTTTCGGAGAGCTAGTCCCTTTCTCCGGAGATGGGGACTAGCTCTGTCGATTGGGCCCAACTGAGGTGTTACGTGAAGACGGAGAAAGATTCCAGTCTCTGAAACGTTGTTTTGTAATATAAACAGGACGGTGTTTTTAGATAAAGACAGGACGATGGATAGTGTCCAGGAACATAATATTCGTACGCGGTAGCGTAGTGGTTAAGGTACTATGCTACAAGCCGGAAGCTCGCGGGTTGAAGTCCCGATGAGGTCATTGGATTTTTTCTATTGACCTAATCCTTCTGGCCGCACTATGGCCCCTGGGGTTTACTCAGCATCTAACAGAAATGAGTACCAGGAATTAATTAAATAATTTTCCTGGGGTGAAGCGCGGCCGGCGCGTAAGGCTGACAACCTTACCGCCATCTTTGAGCCGATTGTACTAATGTACGATTGTCACAAACCTTTACATATCGGAAGCCTTGGAGAAATTCAGTGTCACATTTTATTCTAAACTACTCCTGTTGCAGATGAGTTCAGCATTATACTTACTGACACCGATGATGACCAGGAAGGCTGCACATTTGTTGTTGAGTTGGTGCAGAAAATCAAACCGGATGAAGGGGAAGAGCTCGAATACATCAGGCCTTGGGATGCGTTGGTACATTTGGAGCTGGAAGTGGGAGTGAGTTCTTTTCCACTTTAAGGTGACTGTAGATATAAAGAGTAAGACGCACAACAGTCCTATCTACCTCAGTGCCAACCTCACAGTCACAGTGAGGCTGTAGTACGATTTTGTTGCAATATAACCATCGTATATGATGTATAAAAGAAATACTCCCGCCCCACGATAGGTTAGTAAGCTTCGAAGTTTAGTTCTTTACCTTTTTTTACCTAATTATTTCATGAGAGGATACTGTAATTTCACGTAACCGCAACAGATGAATTAAGTAAACCAGCACCTTTCTGCAGACTGCAGGTCTACTTCTGTTTGCAGGAAGAAATCTTTCCAGTCAAGTTTCCGCAGGAGACACGCTGCTTTACACTGGAACCTGGCACCCATGACATAAGGGTCACCACTAACACGGAACAACACAGCAAGATTTACATGCGCATATTCTCCAAGAGAATGTATGAAGTGGAACGGAAGTAATAAGGCTAAGGGTCTGTTACAAAACACTTGGCACACAATTAATGAACTGCTTCACCAAGTCTTAATCGTGAATAATTTATTGAAAAAAGGCATGACTATATGTTAATATATGTGATTTCATTGTTTTCCAGCACTGCACAGTGTCTGGTGCAGAAGAACTCATTTATTCCTGAATCAGTGACACAGTGACCAAAGTTGTATTTGAATAGCGATGATGTTACAGCCTAATTATGCATGAATCGCTTTGCCCTTTATTATAACAAACCTCTAAATGTTACGATTTCTCTTAAATATAATAATTTATTCAGAGTTATGTTTGTACTTCTAATAAGGAATGGCTTTCTCTGGAATTAGGATAGGGCTCCTGTATTACGAGGGAGAGTCAGTAAATAGGTCACAAATTGATATAAAGCGTAAAATACAAGGGTTGGATAAAAAGCAGTGGCAACACTGCTGTAACATGAAAGATGTGCGTCAGGTGGCACTAGCGCCGTCTGTAGCTGATAGCAGAAGTTCGGTTGAAGTAGTGCAGTGAGTGGTTCTGGTTGTGTTTCATTGAGTTGCATTGTGCATCGTCTTGAAGTGCAGGAGTCCACATCAAGCACCCTAACAACATGTTTACGAAACAAGAACAACACTCCTGGATAAAAATTGAAGTTGCACGAGGTCGTAGTGCACAAAACTGTTATCAGGGACTGCGAGAAGCATGTGGTGATGCTGCTCTGCCACATCGCACAGTGGCACGATGGGTGAAATTGTTCCGTGAAGGGAGGGATGCCATTCAGGACAGCCGTCGTTCAGGACGACCCCATGTTGACAACCACACAATTCAGCTTCTTGCTTCTTTGCTGGATGTCGATCGTCGATGGGCTGCGCGGGAGTTAGCTGCTGAGGTAGGCGTATGTCACAAAACTGTGCTCCACATTCTGCACGATGTTCTTCGATACCCCAAAATTGCAGCGCGTTGGGTACCCCATACAATGTCCGAGATACAACAATGGCAACTTTATGCAATTACACGGGACTTGTTGGACCGGTACCGTGGGAAGGTGACGACTTCCTTGGAAGGATCGTCACTCTGGACGAAACTTGGGCTTGCTCATACGAACCGCACTTGAAGCAACAATCAAATGAACGGAAGCATCCTGGCTCTCCTCGTCCAAAGAAAGTGCGCCCTACACAGAGTAATGCGAAGGCGATGTTCATTGTGGCATATGACACTGATGGAGTGATACTGCACCACACTGTACCTCAACGACATTAAACGCTGCCTACTACTGCGGTTTCCTGCGCAATCATCCTTGTCCAGCACTCAGGAGAAAGCGATGACACTTGTTGGCAACGAACCCCACCATCCTTCATGACAATGCAAGGGCTTATACTGCTGACGCTGTCAACGATCTCCATCGTTGCTGGCGATGGGAGATACTGCATGATCCACCATACTCATCCGATATGAGTCCGTGCAATTATGATCTCTTTGCCAAAATGAAAGAACCCCTGCGAGGTGCACGAGATTATTCGTGCTGTAGGGCGGTTACTGCTGGACACCAACAGAAGTGGACGCGCTGATGGTGTACGACGCCTTCCACAAATTTGACAGAAGGTGGTAAACATGGGGGGGCGATTATATTGAAGGAATGTGTTTACATCAGGTAATAAAGTCATTTCAGAGCCACAGATGTGTTGCCACTACTTTTTATCCGACCTTTGTATATGATATTCGAACTTGGAAAAAAATTCTTTCTCGACATATCCTCCAACATTGATACATTTGTCCCATGTCTTTACCAGTGCGTCGAAACCCGCTGCATAGAAGTATTTTGATCGCTGTCTCAGTCACTTCCGCACGTCCGTTTCAATCTCTTCATCAGCGAAATGCTTGTCACCAAGGTGTCTTTAGCGGACCAAACAGATGGAAGTTACTAGAGATTAAGTCCGGGCTGTAAGGCGGATGTTCAAGAAGTTCCCACTACAGTTCTTGAATTCCGTCCTGGGTTGCACGGGCTGTATGGGGTCTGACATTGTCATGATAAATCAGTACCCCTCTTGCCAGTTGGCCTGGATGTTTTCTGCGAATTGCATCCCGAAGCTTCAACAGAACTTCACAGTACAGTGCAGAATCCACAGTTTCGGGCTGTACGGCGCATGGGCAAGAAGTTCCCGTTGTAGTTGCACGGGCTGTATGGGGTCTGACATTGTCATGATGAAGCAGTACCCCTCTTGCCAGTTGGCCCTGATGTTTTCTGCGAATTGCATCCCGAAGCTTCAACATAACTTCACAGCATGATGCAGAATTCACACTTTCACCATTTCTGGTACTCCACGAGAATCTCAAAACACAATAAACGTAACCTTACCACCTGATGGCGTAAGTGATGAAGGTGAAGATGGATGTTTCCATTGCATTGCAGCACGCTTTGATTCGGGTTTGCAGTGCTGCACACATGATTCGTCCCAAGTAACAAAAAGTCCCGTTAGCATACTCTCATCTTCTCCGTCCTCTGCATACTGTAACATGTTGCAAGGTCAGACCCAGTCGGTTCATTTTTTCTCGATCCCTCCGTTCTCTGGGCACCACCGTGCGCACACTTTCCGAAACTTCAAACGATCATGCATTATGCTGTATGCGAACCATGGGCACACCATAGCGCAGTTGTTACACTGTCTAACGTTGTCCTCCTGTCAGCTCGAATCATCTCTTTCATCCGCTGCACAGTTCCTTCTGTCCTCATGGGGCATCATCTGCAACTTTCGAACGTCCTTGAGATAATTTATCGCCCCAGTTGTGAACCGCTTTACGCGACTAACACTTCCCACCTTAAAAGGAAACATTTCTTTATGAAGAAACGAGAAATAGAACGCTGGTTTTCGGTAGTATGATCCTCAAACACGGTCGCCACTTTGACTACTAAAACCAGCGTATGCGCATGCGGGTCTTCTACAGCGACTGTAATGAAGCTGGACTATGCTACCTAGCGATACAGAAAACCTTCTGCGTCCATTACAGCTGTTTTACTTCCATTTGTGACCTATTTACTGACTCTCCCTCGCAAAATTTTCAGTTTACCATTCGTTTCAGTGGACTGCTCTCTAATATATTGTCACGTGTTAAGTGATTAGACACACGGTTTGGTTTACTAATCGGATATATTGGGCTGTTACAACACGCAACTACAGGCGATCACAGTGTTATCGCTAATTTACACATGATTCACCGCAGCACGCACTAAGTCGGGAAAGATGGTATTTATGCATGACGTTGCTTTGTAATTGTATTTATTTAAGTTATTACTAATGAACGTGCGAGACGGGGCAGCGCAGTCGGTATAGTGACTGCCTACGGACTGGACGACCAAGGGTCGGAGATCGAGTCCCGGTAGGGTCAGAATTTTCTCGTCTCCATATCGTTCCGACCGGCTCTGGGGCGCACCCAGCCTCCTATCCAATGGGTACCGGGGGCTCTGTCCCCGCGGGTAAAGCAGCAGGGTCCTGAAGTTGACCACTCACCTCCATCTAGTGCTGAAATCAAGAAAATGTGGATCTATACATCCACTCCATTTGTCCAAAAGCGCCCTGGACAGACGAGTTGAAAACACTGGATTATCCAAAATTCGTTTAGGATATGTTCTCATTAAGGTAGTGTTGGGTAGGCTTCATCAGCTACTACAACAAATGGAGCTTACAATACTGTTCCAGGTAATTCTGTGTCCGAGGGGACGTTAAGTTTGCCTTTCTAATACAAGAGATAATGAAGACTATCTACAATTTCTTCCATAACTTTGACGTCCTACTGCCCTGATCACTCTCTCTCTTTACAGGTGCTCCCACTTTGGAGCATAGGTCATCCGTGAAACGCTTTGTTTCACTTCAGTTTCTTAATCCTAAGACAGTCGGTACAACTCCTTGGATGGGGGATCAGCCCGTCGCAAGACCGCTACCCACACAGGACAATAAACAGAATAAACGCAGAGATCCATGCCTTCAGTGGGATTCGAACCCACGATCCCAGTGTTCGGGCAAGCGAATACTGTTCATGCCTTAGACCGTGCGGCCACTGTGATCGACTCTGATAGCTACAGTGCTCCATTTGCAATCCGCATCAACAGCAGCTTGAAGCAGTATAGAAAACTAATGTTTGTAATTGTGGTAATGTGAGCTGCTGTTTGCTGGGCACTTAACATGTTTAACATGTAAACTTCCTACACAGCTAGAAAAGTTCAATTTTTTCCAATAGCTTCTTGCTGTTTCACGCCACATTCAATTTGTGGGTTTCGGTATACACTCATCTTGTAAAACGTTCCATATAACTTTAAAAGTTTCTCTGACAATTTTTGAAATTGTGAAGACTCCCATTCGAAAGTGAAGTGTAAACAATCGGAACGATTCGCCAGCTGCAAGATACCTTACAATAAATATTCTTATATTAAAATTAAGTATGGCTAAGTGGTTATTCTGGTGATCTGTAGACGTTTCATGATTCAGTATTCAACTGTGTTCTTTTTTCTTTTAAAGGCATAGGCCTTCATCATCAGATTTACTGATTTCATATGCTATATTCTGAACTGACTTAAACTGTACCTGCCATTCGTTTTTATCATTTTAACTTTGGGAAATATATTGCCGTTCTCTTTAATCTATTATCAAAACCCTATCCACCATTATCATCCAATTTTAAACTATTTTTCGGTGGATGTGATTTCATTAAATTCGGCTAATCGATTTAATTGTGTTGTCAGGCAACAGAGCGAACAGAGAGCGACAGAGAGTGCCAACAGGATGAGTTTAAAATAAGACCGCGCTTTGTTTGGCCAAGAAAAAACTTTACACGTTTTAATTTGTATACGTTTCAGCAAAAACCATAAAAAATGGAAGTATTTTGGGGACTACTTTCAGAAATAAACGAAGAAGGTTGTAAAGCCAAGATCTGGAGCCACAGGGCAGATCTCGAAAAAAATGTCATGGCAGCATTACTACATGATGCTATTTCATTAAGAACTGCTCGATTCAGGAAAATCAGAATGTGGTTTGCATGACAGTTTAATAAGTGAATCACAAAGTCTAAAGACACCTCATATGATTACAACGATGGAGAAAATTCAATAGCCGAATTCTCATATGCACTTTCAGTGCCGAGTACTTCTTCCAGACCTTGTAGTGTTCCATCTGTCTTCTGAAGAAACAATAAAACATTCAGGTTCTCCAAGGAAAATGAAAATCACACTTGACAATACTGATGTAGAAATTATGATTCAGAAGCTTTTTTTTTTTAACAAGTCTTTCGCCTGTCATTAAATCTATTCCACAGTGGCAGAAACGTCCTTCTAAGATTGAAATTTGAGTTCATAATAAATGAGGTAGAAACTGAAAGACAAGTGACAGGTATTCCACACAGTGGTGATATACCAGAGCAAAACAAATTTCCAGTTGAAACAAACGGGTCACCAGTATATTCCAACATTCAGTAGACATCGCCATTGTGAACGTGTATAATAAGTGCATGATAATAAAATTAAACATTTCCTGTATATAAACAGCTTTCCTGACCTTTCAGTTACGACTGGCTGTTGTTCAGCATATATGCTGTCATTGTAGTTAGCTCCTTGGCCCACGAAGGTGAAGCTCAAGCCTGTTTAAAAGTGTCAAATGTCAAGTTCTTAAATAAACTTTGACCTTACCAAGATTAACACATGCGTTCCTATAGTTATGGCAGAATTGTCCAAAGTAGGTCTTCATTTAACTCATCAGCCTGTTTACGTTTCCTTCTATTTTTCAGCTTTGAGGAAAGCCATTCTGATAATAACTTTCTACAGAATTTTGATAAGGCTATGGTAGTGTCTGTGAAACCTAATGAGCTCAGTGCATAGCGGAATACCACTTTCGGTGTGAAACACACTGCAAGTAAAGCATTTCGCATAGTGCACTACGCTATATGCGAAGTATGCTTGGTACACACATAGCCTAAGAGCTGTAAGAATTCCTTCTTCTGCCTACATGATGAACAAGCACATTCAGAAGAATTAATTTTACCATTCTACCAATTTACTGAAAATAATATACCTGATCAACATATCCTGTGTTGATAATTTAAAGCATGGTATAGAGATGATATATGCAGGCATTCATCGACAGTATAGTTTTGATAAACCTGAAACTCCATGAAATGTCACTAAACAAGTGTCATGTATCAGAAACATAAAATGACTAAATGACATCTAGACCAAACCCAGACCTGCAGTCAGAAACGGCGCGCATACAGATGTTACGGCTCCCATCATAAACATCTAAAGAAAGATTTTTTTTTGCCAAAGGTATGAATAACACATACATAAAGACATGAATGAATGTTTTTATAGGACTGCACATAAAAGAGAGTACAAAAGTTTGTAATGTCAACATATTAAAATAAGTATGAAAAAAGATTCGGTCATCATTGCATGGTGCTTACAAAAAAAATATTTAATACAGAACTCCATCAGGTGGCGTGCAACCTATAATGTAATAATGAAGATAATAGTAATAATAAGTATAATAGCAATAATTCATAATATTTAATAATAGTATTAGTAAACAGACTTCCTTTCGTTGACTACATTTTGTTGGCTTGCACTTGCCCAGTGTCCACCAATCGCATCCCATCACTGGACCTCGCTTTCACACAGAAGAGTTAAAACACAATTGCAGCACATGACCAGGAACTAGTAGTTCCAGGTCATGGGCTGCCATCTTGCACTTTGGTGCCAAAAGTCTGTCTTATTTTCCCATGAGCCCTTGGAAAAATAGACCTTCTTTTGCCAAAACACAGATATTTATAGGGTGGAACAGCGCTATTAGCACTTGGTTTACCTAAACAAAACCAGTCAACATGATATAGCTCACATACAATAACGGTTTGGGAAACTAATGATTACATTCGCCACACAAATGTGTAACGAACAGGTTCCGACTGTTTATGTACACGATATAAAATGACATTAAACAATATCAGTTATGGTGTCACTATATCTTGTCCCTTATTGTAATTGTATCAGCCCACTGTCCATTAATGTAAGGCAACATTTTTACAACACACACACAGTGGTACAATGGATGCAATGAGGGGGCAAGAGAAATAAATTTAACAAATGTGAAGAGACAAGTACAATTCCAACTGTCCAACAAACAAAATACTGCAAGTCCTTTCTGCTCTGCAGAGCAAGCAATCCTATCAACATTGCACAGCTTCACACCACTTCTAGAACTATGTGAAACACACACGTGGCATGCTTCTCGGGAAGCTAGGCAGTAGTTCCCATATGAAAAATATCCGTGTAGCACCATGGTGAGAGAATGGTACTGAGAGAGAGAGCTGGGTGACCTGACCCAGCAGGTACAGGATGTGCCAAGTTATCATTAGTAATCCTTCAATGTACGACGTTTTAGGACACTAACTAATGAACAAAAAGACTGGTGATGTCCATATTATTTCACAATAGGCAGTGTCAACCTACAAGTTGTGGCACAAGTACTGAGCGCTATCATCTACCTGTCCCACTAACCCAGCACAGACAGAGGCTGGCAATGAACGCAGTCTTCATTCTGGCACTCCATAGGCTAGGAGGCAGGACGGTGCCTTCCCCCGCAGATCCCACAAGACACACAACACCAATGACATGCTCGAAGTGGTGGGTAGCACCATAGGCAGGGCACCAGCAATGATAGCAGAGCCAGGCCAAGCCACCGGCGCCCACAGTTTTCATCCACCACCCCACACTCACATGGATGCTGTGCAAAGTCCCCTTCTGCATCTGCCATGCAGTGGTACAGCATGCACTCAGCACAAGAGATGCAGGCCACCGCATTGATCCCTGCTCGCACACAATCTGGTGCATACTCACAACTCCCTCGGGCATTCTCATCCTCTGAATACAGCTCCTGGCAGTGGCGGCACCTGTTCTGACAGGCTTTGTGGCGGTCTTTTTTCTTATCACCTGGCTTGCTAGGTAGCAGAGGGGGTTGAGTGGGAATGACTTCCAGACTTCTCTTTTTCAGACTATCAGATGCATCACGGCTTGAAGCCTTCTGGTCCTCCATCACAGGATATATGTACTCATGCACAGCTGTCAACTGAACATATGAATAATTCTCTTTCTCACTGCCCCCAACTACAACTCCACCTCCACTCCCCCCGCCACCACCTTCTCCACGCTGCTGTTGCTGTTTGCTCTCTGGTGGGCTGGCATCCCGGTCAGACCCCAATTTGTCACGTTTTGGGATGTAATGAATCCGATGAAGTTGATGAGACTCAGTGGGGGGTGTAGCATGGCGGCTACTCCCTCCACCACCTCGTGAGGAGCCAGAAGAGGAGCAGGAGTCTCCTCTCTCCACAGGTAAGTTCAGTGTCTAAAATTTAACAAGCATATGTGAAAATGTAAGGAGCATAGAGTTCAATAATGCACACTTCTTTTGTGAAAATTTTGTCATGCAAGCTCCAGCAATGTCAAAATATTTAAGACATGCATACTACAAGCCATGCATCAGTGTTACGCCATGAGCTTGAGTCCAACATTTCTACTGGAAAACCGAGACAGTAAATGTGAGGTTGACCAGGTATCATGTCATAAGGCATATAGGGAGCACAGACTACTACACTCATTTTCTGAATTCAGGTAGCTCTTGCTCTGGCTGTTTTTGACTCAGGAAAATCACTTCTGGTACCAACTGGATACGAGTGGTTTCCAGCATCATTGCAGTGAAAGCAATTCCATAAAAGGTAAAGGTAAAGTTGTCACTGTGCTCAACTAATTAAGCACTACACCTTGAAGGTGTATGGGGGAGTGGATATACAGATCCACAGTTTCTTGACCTCGGCACTAGTTCGAGGTGAGTGGTGAGCTTCACATCCCTGCCGATTTACCCCCAGGGAAAGAGCCCACAGTACCTGTTGAATAGGAGGTTGGGTGGACCCCAGAGCCGGTCTGGACAACATGGAGAAATGAAAAATTTTGACCCAGCCGGAACTCAAACTCGTCGTCCAACCTGTAGCCAGTCACTATACCTGACTACTCTATCCTGGCTCGAAAGCAATTTCACAATGATTACATTTTATGTTTTGTTCAGATGAAATTAATTTTACTATTTCTAGTATTCTAGATCACATTCCATGAGAATGATCATTACACTCACCATGACAAAGAAATTAATTTCCCTCACTGAATTTACAGGACATTAGAAACAGGTAGCAACATAGGTTTTTCATTGTAATGTTCATGGGAACTATAAAGCTGGAACAATTATTGACCATTTCAAGTATAATTGAAATGATTACATTGAACCTTCTAATACAGAACCAGTACGTACATTAATCAAATTCTTGCAACCAAACCTTTCCTACATTTACATGCACTAAGCATTATACGACATACATTGATATATTACAAATTATCCAAAATGTCTTTCTTTTAGGATGAAGTCTCAGCTATCAAACTCTTCAGTTATAAGGAGAATACCTTAGTCAGGGGTGCAGTCAGTATAACAACTGGCTATGGGTTTGTACGACCGAGGGGTTGGAGTTCGAGTCCCAGTAGGGTCCAGACCGGCTCTAGGGTCCACCTAACCTCCTATTCAATGGATAGCAAGGGCTCTTTCCCCAGGGGTAAAGCGGCCAGGGCGTGAGACTGACCACTCACCTCCAACTAGTGCCAAGGTCAAGAAAATGTGGGGCTCTACATCCACTCCCCCATACACCTTTATGGCATAGTGCTTCATTAGCTAAGCTCAGGGACAACTTTTATACCTTAGTCATGAAAACTGGGTGGCTCTAAGCTGGACAGCTGGAAATTATTCTCTTCCAGGGGCAACTCATTCAGTTCAGATCTGCAGGGAGCACTCACCTTTCTAACCAAAGAGAATATGGGGACTTTTCCCCAATGGATGTAGTCAGCCAAAGTGTGAAACTGATGACTCACCTCCATCTAGTGCTATTGCAACTAGGAATGTAAATGACAAATGTATGTTTTTTTCCATACACAGCAGTGACTAAGTGAGAGTTCAAGTTATGTCTCATAACTCTTGAGGTAGAAGGAATCCATTCTTGTAGCCACTGCACAGATACAATTTTATCACTAAAATGCAAGTTACTAATCTGTAATTTTTGCTAACCACTTATATGGAATGAAGCATCCAAAAGGAAAATGTGTGTTCAATGTTACTTTCAGAGCTTTTTTAGTCCATCAACAGTCATCATCATCATCATTTTCACAGCAATGGCTTCTTGAAAAGCTACTGAACCAGAAAAGGGGTAAAAAAAATTATGGGCATAAATGGCTTTAGAAAATTCCAATTTTATGAAACGAGAAGCAAAACCATCATGATCAGCAGACATGAAGCTGGCAACTGCAGGTCTGGGCTGGTCTTCTTTTTTCTACATTTCTTCAAGGAAGGAACAACTGGAAGAAATATGACAATGATCTAACGGGCTTGAGATCACAGAAACTCTGCATCATAAAAGGTGCAGATTCCAGCCCAGCTTCTGTGTTAGGAAACACATGTCATCACATTCAAAGGTTAAATAACTACCATACTGCTTTGAATACAAGACACATTTTTTGCATTGTTTCCCCACTGAAAAACTAAGATGTCTTAAATTCAAGGAATTATTCACCAGTTTCAAACTGCCCAGGGGGTAGCCTGGACCGAACCTAACATAAACACATTTGGAGTGAGTCATCAAACCACATCATACCCCCACACCCACACCTGAGTCAACACCAAACTTGCAGTCCAGTCATTGCCTGACATTCTTACTGTTCAGGTGCGTTCAGTTTTCATTCAGTCTTTACCCATGGGAGAGCATTTTACATATGATGCCGCATTCAAAGGAAAAATATTCATGGTGCTGTAAATATAGGTAATTTTGCAGCTGGTACAAAGTATACAGTAAGTGAGGCATGTGTATGTCATTTGCAAAGTATGAAAACAAAACTACTTTCACATCTGACAAACAGAAAGTCTCTTTCTGGACCAAAGAAAGGGAGAAATCCTGAGATTGATGCCTCTGTTTTAGAGTCAAAATAAAGGATTACCTGTAACTATGGAAGCCTTAATGTCAAAGCAAAAGAATGTGCCTGAAACAGTATACCTTTCAAGGCTAGTCACGGGCAGTATGAAAAGTTTATGAAGAGAGAAAGCTTATTATCACAATGAAGGATGAATATGAGTCTGAAGCTTCCTTCTGAATTTGAAACTAAACTGAACGTCTGCATTTTGTTACTGGACTACGTCGAGGTCAAATCGCCAATGCAGGCAAAATTGTAGGTTTCTTCAACATACCTCAAAATTATACCACAAATTTCAAATGGCGAAAAAAAAAAATCTGTGGTTTCAGTCCACAAGGGAACTATACCGACACAAGCAACCGCCACCTGTCGGCGAAGTTAGTGCCAACTTTGGCAGATAGTGGGTGTTGCGTGGTCAGCGCAACGACTCCCCACAGCCATTAATTTCGGCGTTCTAGACCACAGCTGCTATTTCCTTGAAATAGCTCTTCAATTATCCTTAGGAGGCTGAGAGGAATGAAACCCACAGACTACGAAAAAGTTGTGTTATTGTCATGCTGTGTATAAACACAAATGGTAATAAATTACCACCATATATAATATTAAACACAAAAACAGTGCCAAAAGAAAATTTCTGCAAAGACGTAATAATTCAGGCCCACAGAAATGCATGGATGACATCGGAGTAAATGGAAGACCGGTGTGGATGTGTATGGGAACATCAGCCTGGTGCATTATCAAACCCACAGCGTGTGTTTGCAGTGGATGCATTTTGGGGCCATCTCTCCAAAAGAATCAAAAATAGGTTAAGGAAGAAAAGGAACAATCCAGTGATAATTCCTAGTGGCATGACAAGTTAATTACAACAAACAATGGTCTATTAACTGATGTGTCAATTAACAGACCACTGTCCATCTTGTCCGTAAACACTATGATCCCTTGCTAAAGAAAAGACAATCATACACTGACACCCAGTGACAAAATAAAATGAGCATCAGCATCAATAAGAGCGGAGTGCGTAGCAAAAGTTTGTAAAAAGGTACCAGTCAATATTATTCCAAAATCGTTTTTAAAGTGCTGTTTGTATAATGCGGAAGAAGGAAAGCAAGATGACACTGGACAAAGTGACGAGGGTACATCATCTTCAGGAAGTGAAAATGTGATTGAAGGATCACTCAACAAACTTTCTGATTAAATAAAAAAGATAGAAAGGTATGTACATGTAGCAAAAATTTTAGATTTCCATTTTATTTTGGTATATTTTCCATTACCTTTCACTTTAAATGTGTTCTAAATATTTTGTTATTTTAATCGATATGTTCTAAATAAACTCACCAAGATAAATATACCTTACTAATTTTTAACTAAAATCCTCATTTAAAAATTGGATACATCTTAAATCTTATATTCAAAGTAATACAGTATTTATGAATAGATTCTAAAGGGTTCTGACGACGGTGGTTGACACACAGAATTACTGGGGTTTTGGACTTCTTCCATCGTCCGGAATTCTAGACACACTAGGTAATAGAGGACACAACGTTTCGGAGATTGAATCTGTTTCCGTCTTCAGGTGAGAAAGGAAGACACCTACTCAGTTGGGACCCTTAGAAAGAGCTAATCTCAATCACTGGACCAAGTAGGTGTAGGTTCTTCCTTTCTCACCTGAAGACGGAAACAGATTCAATCTCCGAAACGTTGTGTCCTCGATTACCTAGTGTGTCTAGAATTCCGGACGATGGAAGAAGTCCAAAACCCCAGTAATTCTATGAAATTTACGAAATTTTACATTTGAATTCTTTCCTCATGTCCAACCCATTGTAACAACACAATACTTCTGTACAATATCCTTGCACAATGTCTGCTGAAAGCTCAAAGCAATACAGATCACCTAAGCAATGTACAACTACTAAGCCATATAATTAAATACATAAGAGAACAAATTCAAGCAGCCCACTAAAACTAACAAGCACTTCATTCCAACATGTGAACAATGTAACTCAATAAACAGTGACCAAAAAAAACCCAGCAGTGTAAGGTAAAAAAGTTGTCCCTGTGCTTGATTAATTAAGCACTATGCCATGAAGGTGTATGGGGGAGTGGATGTACAGATCCACATTTTCTTGACCTCAGCAGTGAGCGGTCAGCTTCACGCACTGGTCGTTTTTCCCCGGGGAAAGAGCCCCCAGTATCCACCGGACAGGAGGTTCGGTGGACCCCAGAGCCAGTCTGGACGGGATCGAGAAATGAAAATTCTTAACCCTACTGGAACTCAAACGCCGAGCCCTCGGGCATTCAGCCCATAGCCAGTCGCTATACCGACTACTATCCTGGCTCCTAAACAACTGTTCATCACACTGTTAAAAATACAACCAAACAAATTCACAAAAGCTATGAAACAATGCAACTAAAGTCATCTCACATAACTATTAAACAGTAAACCTGAACCTAACTCAATTCAATAAAATCAAGCAACTCACTAGAAGTACAAACTACTGCACACCAGACATAGAAATTCACTACAGGTATCAACGTATAAAAAAAATCCAATATAAAAAAGTGTACACCAACTAAAATGATGCAATTTCCAACAATATTTTGCCCAAATTATGTACATTAGCCACACCATGCACCCACCAATATACAACAAAAACACCCAAAAAATTCAACGAAGTGTCAACTTATGTATACTAACCTTAAAGAAACAATATCTTATGAAGGAAAATACAATTACTAACTAAGCAATCAAACAAAATACATGGCCCATAACTAAGAAATGCCCTGCAGGTATTTGAAACATACATCTGATTGTGTCATGGCAACAGCTCCTCAGCTTCTGGCTTCTCCACATAAGCTGGCATGCAGTTCCCTGTTACACACATTCTTCTTTATCTACAGTTTAATGGGAGCTGTCAGTACCTCACATACAGCACTAAATGGCAGGGTGATTAGTGAATAATGAACGAAATAAAGTGGAAGGAAACAGTCACAGACTAATATGAAATATGAATCCAGAATTGGCCTAGAGGGATACCACAAAAAATATGTTGTAAGCATTTGCTTGGTACATTCTGCAGCCACACTATCAAACAAGTTCATGGAAGATATGAAGAAAGTGAAAATAAACACTGTAACTTCAAACATTAATGTTGTTAATATATTCTTCTTCCACAATTAAATCAATTGTAAGAGAATCATCATCATCTAGACATATCAAAGAGGGGTGTGAATATATACACACTTTGTAGACTTTGCTCCATAGTTCAATCTTGCACTTGTATTTAGAATTATGAACAATTCTTCAAGAACAATATGAACAATTTTTATCCTTCCTTTGGTATATGTATTAATCCCTGTAGCTACACTATTTGTGTCCTCTCCCTGTAGCTACACTATTTGTGTCCTCACCCAAGTATTAGGATGATCAAAGCATGACAGAGATAAAAATGCATGCAAAACTTTGGTTGCGAAACTGAAGACCAAGGCATAAATGAAAGTATAATGTTATAACTGCTTTTAAAAGAAACAGGACACATCTGGAATCATTTGGTTCTACATAAGGACAAAGGTCATGCTCTTGTGAACATGGTAATGAACCACAGGGTTCCATGAAAGGCAGGGAACTTTATGTGTGAGTGACTGTCTGCTTCTTCAGTACGCTAATCATCTGTTTATAAATCTCTGCAAGCAGTTTGTTCCCCTGCTTACTTTTAGAAGTATCAAGAAGTAAATATACACTGATAAAGAAAACCTTTTCCTTCATTTGTGTGTATACTGAGAATCTGCACTGCCTAAGCAGAAGTCACCAAAAATCTGCATTAATTATGTTTTATGTCACATCTCCTCCAACAAAGGCTATGGTTCACACACTCCTTGAAGTCTGAGACAGACCTGCTACCATGATGCAACAAATGATCCTCCTACATATTCTCAATAAGCAAGCAGCATCCACAACCAAGCAATTAACTAAATGTACACTAACCATAAACACGTCATCATCTCCCACATCTGCATTGTGTTTGGGAAGTGGTGTAATTTCCGAAAGACCTGAAATGAACAATACTTTGGTTTACTATCAGTGGAATGCAGATGCAGGGGCCTTCACCAACATGTAAACCTCAAACTAAGTAAGTCACACTGTGAAATGTACTTTCAGTAGTCACTGTTCTTGGAGATGAGAAGGAACAAATATTCCACTTTGCTGACACATCTTCCATTCCTATGGCCTGTGAGGATCTCTCACAACAGTACATGTGTATCATCAAAGTACACTGAAATACATTTACAACCAGAGCTTGAAAATATGTTGGCTAAAATGTTAGCATAATGGAACTGTACGGCATTTCATTACAAATCTTACAAAACCAAAGACATTAAGTCCAACTTCGGTTTATACATAAGAAGTCTACAACAAATGCAAAATTATAAAATCTCAAGTGTTTACAGCAACTGAATACAATAAAACCCTAAGGTAATCAGCCATGTCAGTTTCAGAGATTGCCTCTGCCTGTGATGTCAAGAGACTGATCATAAACTATGAAACACTGGTCATTCATTCCATACTGACACAACAGTGTGTCTGCAACTTCATTACATATAAATTATTTCTAATTTCACATATATTCTACATTCTAATTAAACAACTGTTCACAGTTTCACATCATCATCGGGCCAAAAGAAATCAATGTACAAAGAAGGCAGTGGAAGCATTTCTAACCTGCAAAGATGTAGTGCCTAAGCAGCATAAAATTCAAGCCTGGTAATATTTCAGCACTTTCCACCCATTCAACACTATAACTCTAAGCTGTTGCTCAAGACAGATGTCTGCCATACTAACCGTAAATGAACTGGTTTGAGAATGTTTAATGAAATTCTAGTACTAGGTTCAAACAACATACAATGAAAAATACAACACACATGCCCTTAATCCCAGTTTTTAGCCTAAAATCTGACATGCTGATAGCAGTATGTTTAATATCTCTGACAATACAGGTTCTCACAATTGTGAGGCTCTCCTGGGATATGCTACCAATGTAGTTTGGTAACTGGGTAAAAATATTTAAGGAAATGCTACCTCCATCTTCAGGGTGGAAGATGGAGACAGCACATTCTAGTCTTGGGATTTTATCCTTCAGCACATCCTGATTACAGTCAGCACCTAAATGATCCTCTGTGAGTCTAATAATTGAAAATCCTTAAATATTTTTGAATATTCATATTAGTTATGCTATTTAAATGAGACTGTTATATTTTTGTTGATGAATATATCCATAGGATTTCTTTCAATTGTATTTAACACAGCAAACGGTTTCATTAATTAGTGTGACCATGGCAAATTTCTACATTACTCAGTGGTATACAGAACAAATCAATGAGCACACTTACCAACAGTACAATTCCAGAAAGAGAACTCTATAAACATCATGCACCCTCTACAAGCTACCAGCACATTCTGTCACTATTAACTTAAAAGTACAATTGTCAGGCCTCTTAATGCTCTGTCCCAGATGTAAATTTCAGTTCAACACCAGATCTTCAGGATTAAGCTTATGTTAAATGTGTAGTAGTAAAATTGAGTTATATGAATGCATGCCAGTTTGTATGTCAATACTCACCCCATAATCATCCAATGGCATGCAAGAAAGAAAGGCACACTGAATTAAAAAAGAGCAGGCCTTGTTTATATATAGCTTTTAGTCTTCGTTATGTAGCCATGCATAAGAGCATAATTACAGTTTTTGAGCCAGGAAAGATGTTTGCAAATTCTTATCATATACTGCAATTAAGAGCTACAGAATCAAATACTGAACGAATCAAATCTACATATTCTCCAAGTATCTATATCTCAGTCCATACACTTTATAGGGTGAACTGATTTCTTCAAAATATGCCACGCTTTTTGTAAGAAACTTCAGTCTGCTATGCATTTCAAGGCTCTTGCACATACAGAGTGTTCCTAAAAGAATGGTGGGGTTTTAGATATGTATATATTTTGTATTTCTTACCGTGTACAATCATAACATGTGTCAATCTGAACCTTAACTGTCCAAATTTTATGTACATCCATCAAAGTGCCTCTATGTGCGCACCTTTCGTTACCCGGCACACATCAATGCGATAGTCGAATTCCTGCCACACCCACTGCAGCATTTCAGGTGTGATGGTCTCCACACGACTGATTCTGTTTCAGAGATCCTGGAGCGATTGGGGCAATGGGGGTACATAAACCATGTCCTTCGCATACCCCCACAAGAAGAAATCACATGGAGTTATGTCCGAGGATCGGGGAGGCCACCAGAGAAGGGGGGCATCTTCACCTGCAGATGTCCAATCCATCGTTGCGGAAGGACCAGATTAAGCAAACCTCTCACAATGCTATGGAAATGTGGGGGAGCACCGTCCTGTTGGAAAATGTAGTCACTGGAATCATTGGCCAGTTGTGGAAACAACCAATTTTCCAGCATGTCTTGATAGGTGTTACCAGTCACTGTTGCTTCAGCGAAGAAAAAAGGCCCATACACTTTTTGTTGAGAGACAGCACAGAAGACGTTAATTTTTAGAGAATCACGCTCGTGCTCAATCTGTGCATGTGGATTTTGTGTCCCCCAGATACGTACATTGTGTCGGTTAACTATCCCACTCAGATGAAAAGTGGCTTCACCATTGAAAACGAGACATTCCAGGAAACAATCATCTTCCATCTTCTCTTGAATGTCCTCAGCGAAATGAGTTCTGGCTACCTTGTCTTGTGGTTTCAGAGCTTGCAACAGCTGCAACTTGTACGGTTTCATTATTATCCGCTTACGCAGCACCCTCCACAACGTTGTTGTTGGCATTTGCAATTCTCTGCTTCCTCTACGTAATGATTTTCTTGGGCTTCTCTGATACGTCTCCCTCACTCTTTCCACATCTGCATGTGGCACACGTGGCCGCCCAGAACTCTTGCCTTTACAGAGACATCCACTGTCCACAAACTGCCGGTACCATCTGCGAATGTTGTTTTCATGTGGCGCCTCCTTCTGAAAATGTACACGAAATTCACGGCACACTGTAACAATGGATTTAGACACCTCAAATCTCAGCACGCATTAGGCCTTCTCCTGCTGGGTTGCCATCTTACATTTCATACCTCCTAACTGTCAGAAATGGAACTAGGAAAGAGCGCGATATACAAAATGAAAATTTGAGAGCTGCGTTATGAGTCCGTACACATTTTGCTTTTCATCACCAAAAACTGACGGAGATATACGGCAATGAAACCACCATTCTTTTAGGAACACCCAGTATTGTGAAACAGACAGCTATTTATGATGAAGGATGCCACATTGCACATCACTGGAAGACATACATCTAACAGATGAGTGTAAATTACTACACATGCCTTCATGCAGTTTTTAATTGTGAATGTTCATCATGGGTGACCATGCCATCTCTTCAATTTTAATACCACATAAAAGACTATTTTTATGCTGGAAATAAGTATGTATAAAAGTCCTGATAACAAATAGATCTGACATTATTTGTGCAGTATAATGTGCAACAGATAGTCCTGAGAAACTCAATGTTGTTTTAATGGCCCTTGTACCAGAAAAGGTAAGAGGTCACCAGAAGCTTTTGTTTTAATGATGCTGAACCTTCATGTCTCAGCAATTACGAAAAGTTTCAAGTTTCCACATTCTTTATATAGTGTGGCCTGTGGAAAAATTGTTACTAAAAGTTTTAAATGTATTTCATGCCAGACTAGCATCAACATATGGCTACTTCCAGCCCTGCTGCTATGTGCAGTGTTCCTCAAACTGTGTTCTGCAGAAACCTGAGGTTCCACAAAGCAATCAGAAGGGTCCCAAGAGACAGTAGTATCTGATGATGGACTAACCATCTTACAACTATGCTATAAAACCAATGAAGTTACAAGTCCTTCACATACTGAAGACAAATTGCTAAAGAAGCAAGCTTGATGACAGCCATGTGTGCCAGTGATTCCAGCACATCTGATGCCCAGTGTGTATCATGTTACAAAATATTAGAAAGCAGGGCCATGGTTCCTGAAAATTATAGTAACATTTACACACAAAACATGTTGATTGCAAATGCAAACCTCTCACATATTTTAAACCTGAGTGTGATGAACTGAAACATTCCCAAACTAATATCACTTTGGTGAAGCCCAAATGACTGCTGAAAATCCCATCATATCTTGTATAAGTCATTGTTTCCTGTATGCCTAGTGATATTTGAAGGTTATTAAAAGAAGCTCCACTTTCAAATTCTAGTTTTAAGAAGAATCGAGGAAAGTAGTTCAATATCAAATGTGAATGGATTAAAACAGTCAAGGTTTTGCTATACTAGGTGGTGAATCCATTGATATCTCGCGTCTTTCCCTTTGTTTCAATCTGTGAGAGGCATATGCAACACATCAACTTTGAAGAGCAAATACTGTGCAAACCTCTGCCCATTCATACTACAGGAGGAGTATTTTCAATCTTAATTTATTAGTACAGGGCTGAAAAAGGCCTTAATTAGAAACAATATGCTGATACTTAGAAATTTTTTTTTTGCACATATTACAGCCACTACACCAGAATGAACTAGCAGCCACTGCATCATTCACTGTCAAGTTCTTGGTGTAAAAAAAAGACTCCAAATACACTGAAAATGGTATTAGAAGGGGCTGTGAAGATTGTAAATTTTCAGTACTTTTCAGCGTGCTATGTGGCAAAATGGATAGCAACTGTACAATGTTTCTGCTGTACAAAAAGGTTTAATGGTTATCAGATACAGAGCTAAGGTTCATGTATTCACACTGTGCTCAGTTTTATCATTCGGTACTGACCATCCCTTTCACTTTCATTACGTCCGTGTGACCTGCTCCACAAGCTGGTATAGCCATCAAATTCATCATTCCAAGTACAACTACCAGAATTATCTCTGCATGTCTAGAAAGCAAGTCCTTCATAAGCACAAGAGCATTTTGGAGGACATGCAATGAAAAAAATGTCACAGTTTTCAGACACTGATTGATCTTCTGAATGAACCTGCATCTGAAA